ATTGCAGCGATAGCAGAGTGGAAGTAATAAAAAAAGGAACACAGGTTTACATGGAAAACCCCCTAAATGAATTTGGGGTAAAAATCATGGGTAAGGATAGAAGAATTCACTATGAGAAAAAACTTTGAAGTTAATCTCTCTTTACAAGGAGATATTCTCTATTTTTTCTCTTTTATATGAGGAGTTGTTTCTGGGATGTATATTTTCTGAAGAGTTTTGGACCTATTTATAGTGTTTGAAAAAATACTATGTACTAATAAAATAATATTATTTTACTATGCAATCAAAACTTTTAAACTCTGCCTAATTGTCAGTGAAGGGACGGTGCCTAACGGTGGGGCCCATCACCTTTTTTAATTTTCAACAAATGCGGTCTTAGTTGTTAATAATCTTCCACTTGAAGATTTGATTGAGTATCAATCATATCTTCATATCATTCTTTCTATCTTGTCATCTTCATGTTGCTCACGTCTCCGACAGATCACAAGAGGATCGACACCAAATAAATTTATCAGTATTGATTGCTTTTGTCAAAAAATTTACTAGGTTGTCTTTGGTGTGAATTTTCTGCATATCCACTATTCATTTTTTTACTTTCTCACGAACGAAGTGGTACTGAACTCGAATGTGTTTTGTCGTTGAATGAAATGTTGGATTTCTTGCTAAATGCAAAACACTATTGTCTGTCACAAAATAGAAAAATCTTCTTTTGGTCATGTCCGAGTTCCTCCAACATCATCTTCAACCATATCGTCTTTTTACTAGCTTGTGTAGCTGTTACATATTCTGCTTCTGTTGTTAAAGTAGTCACAACTGACTGTAGTTTTGAAACCCAGCTTACAGCTCCGCCAGTAAGTACAAATACATAGCCTGTGGTGGATTTGTTATTATCACGATCACCTACATAATTAGAATCAACATATTCATTGACAATAAAATCAGAACCTCCATAACATAATGCAACATTTGAGGTTCCTTTAATGTATCTTAGAATACTCTTTACAGTATTCCAGTGCTTTTTATCAGGATTTACCATGTATCGACTAACTACTCCCACTGTTTGTGTAATGTCTGGTCTTGTACAAATCATAACGAACATTAAGCTTCACACTGCTGATGCATTTGGTACTCGAGACATATCCATTATCTCTTCTTCATTGTTAGGACTCATACTAGAGGATAACTTGAAATTAACATGAAGTGGGGTAGAAATTGACTTAAAATTCACACCAAAGACAACCTAGCGTATTTTTTGACAAAAGCAATTAACACTGATAAATTTATTTGGTGTCGATCCTCCTGTGGTCTGTCGGAGACATGAGCAACATGAAGATGACAAGATAGAAAGAATGGTGTGAAGATATGATTGATACTCAATCAAATTTTTAATTGGAAGATTGTGAGCAACTAAGGTCGCATTTGTTGAAAATTAAAAAGGGTGGTGGGCCCTACCGTCAGGCAGCGTCCCTTCACCGGCAATTAGGCAGAGTTTGAAAGTTTTGATTGCACGGTAAAATAATATTATTTTATTAGTGCCTAGTGTTTTCTCAAACACTATAAATAGGCCTAAAACTCTTCAGGAAAAATTCATCCCAGAAACAACTCCTCATATAGAAGAGAAAAAATAGAGAGAGTACCTCTTTGTAAAGAGAGATTGTAACTTCAAAGTTTCTCCTCAGTGGATTCTTCTATCTTTGCTCGTGATTTTTACCCCAAGTACATTTAGGGGGTTCTCCACGTAAATCTATGTATTTCTTTTTTTATTACTTCCACTCTAAGGATTTAGGATCTGCAAACAAGATTCTAGGGATGCAAATTTATCGAGACAGAATTAATAGGAAGATTTGGCTTTCTCAGAAGAATTATTTGAAGAAAATATTACGGCGTTTTAACATGCAAGATTGTAAGTCAATTTCTACCCACTTCCCGTTAATTTTAAATTATCTTCCAATATGAGTCCTAACAATGAAGAAGAGATGATGGATATGTCTCAATTACCGTATGCATTAGCAGTGAGAAGTTTAATGTTTGCTATGATTTGTACAAGATCAGACACTGCAAAGCAGTGGGAGTGGTTAGTCGATACATGGTAAATCCTGATAAAGAGCATTGGAATGCTATAAAGAGGGTTCTAAGATACATTAAGGGTACCTAAAATGTTACATTCTGTTATGGGGGATCTGATTTTATTATCAATAGATATGTTGATTCTGATTATGCAGGTGATCGTGATAATAGCAAATTTACCACAGACTATGTGTTTGTACTTGCTAGCGGAGCTGTAAGCTGGGTTTTAAAACTACAGTTAGTTGTGACTACTTCAACAACAGAAGCAAAATATGTAGCAGCTACACAAGCTAGTAAAGATGCGATATGGTTGAAGATGGTGTTGGAGGAACTCAGACATGAACAAAAGAAGATTTTTTTATTTTGTGACAGTCAGAGTGCTTTGCATTTAGCAAGAAATCCAGCATTTCATTCAAAGACAACACACATGTTATCCATATTTTTAACTTTGGGTCACACTCATGATATAAGGTATCGTTCTTTGAGTTCTGGTAATAGTATCTACTGCTAACTTGTTAAATAGCAAAAGGGAGCCAACTTGAGTAATGCATGAGGAAGTTGTTTAAATGCAATGTATAACATTTTTTAAAATTGTGTAGGAGAAAAATGAGTAAAATTGACCTGCGCTGCCGAGGCATTAGCATGAAAATAAACTAAAAAGAGGAATAAGGAAAAGCTTCACAATTGCGTTACAGTACTTAAGCCGAGTTACCAATTTGGCAAATTAGAGATCTAAACTCTTCAAAGTATTAATAGGATTCTAAGAAATAAATGATAACAACTTAAAATTTATACTTACGAAGATTCATTTGAAATTACATGGATGCTTAAAACTATTTTATTTATTAACTCAATTCATTTGATTATATATGACAATGTGGAAACAAATTACCATGTGCATTTGGTGGATTTAAACACATGTCATTGGGATATATCTAAATAAGAGAAAATAATTAATAACTAAACGATTGAAGCTTCACTTACTTTTTTTGGGATGATGTCTCATTGGTGTTTCCTTTCCAAATGTGATCCCATATGTCATAATCTTGGAAGGTTCTGCCTTTGTAGTCTGGACAATATCACATAACAATTTAGAAATAATAAGCATCAAAGCAAATGAAAATAGTAAACATCAAAGCAAACTCACATCCACTGTATCAAATTTGCTTCCTTCCTCTTTAGAACTCCTTGTCTTTGCCATGTCGACATAATTTAGAAAAAAATAAAACTAAATTTTGGTCATAGAATTGATGGTAAATTATAGGGAAAATTCACAACTATATTCAATTTGGAAAGTATATATAGAAGATAAAAAAGATACCACCTCAATGCTATCCAAAGTTTTAACTAAATAAATAATCCTCAAAAATTAACTTATCAAAACATTAACTCCTCCAAAATTATCAACAACCCACTTCACAAAATCCTACAACGCCCCACAATCCTCTATAAGCAGCCAATGTCAATCCACATTACTCATCCCCTCTCCTCTAATCTCCTCCACCGCTCCTCGACATCGATCTAAGTTTGTTAATTTTTCCTTGTTTCTTTTACTTTTTGATCCATGAATTCGTTTCCCCGTTTTTTAATAAGGAGGGTTTGGGATGATGTGGAGAGATGATGACTTGAGAATTCAAAATAGGGGGTTTTGACTAAAAGTATCGGGAGGAGAAGAGGGGTTTCTAGATAACTATAGATTTATGCTTGTGGTTGGAATTTTTTTAATTATGTTTGTTTTGGATGTACACTGTAGATATAAACAATGCTTATCTATAGTTAATTGAAAATATCAGGGGAGAAGAGAGGTTTCTAGAGAACTATAGACTTATTGTTCTGGTTGGAAATTTTTTAAAATTATGTTTGGGTTGGAGATGCACATTGAGGTCACTGTGTAAAATACATGATTGAAAAGATAGAGGTGAGGAAGGAGCAGTGCAGAGGTGAGTGATTGAGTTGAAAGTAAAGATGACTCCATTTTAGCCGGTTTCCTTCTTTCCACAAAATATCTGAAAGAGGGGAGAGAGGAGCGGATCCCTCCTCAGCCAAATAAAAATCGATTATTGAGAGAGCTATTATTAATATTGGAGGGTAAAAAATTAGCACCACAAGAGTTAGACCTTGAGACTCAAAATATAGCCTCTTACCAACTAATCTATGAAGTAATTAGGTGACAGTGCAAAGAAAATTGTTTAAATTATATCGTATATTATAAATTATATTATATAGTATATAATAATATAAATAATAACAGTAATAACAATAACAATTTTTTTGGGACTAAGAGTGATCTTAGAAGCAGATAGGTTTAAATATGATGAAGTAAATCTTTAATTTTTGAAGGAATAAATCCTTTATGTGAGAATTTCAGGCTTAAAAATAAATTAGGTGAAACGTGGGATATTTAGGGGGGGAAACTTCAATATATATTATTATATTATGCTAGTTGCCAGCTGTTATTACTACAGTGCCTTGGAAGTTGGTACAGTGTAGTTCTTTTTGGGCTAAAAAGTTAAATTAGATTAAAATTTGGACTAATGAGTAAAACTAATTTCTTTTTCATACCAAACTATTGGGTGTCACTGTGCTTAGGAACAGTCGTAGACCCATTAGTTTTAGTACATAGATAAATACCAACTTCGTTTTTTGTTACTATATTGAGCTACCATTTCACTGTTTGAGTTCAATTAATTAACCCTTAACTGAGTAGTGGTTTGGAGTTTTAATAACATGAAACCGGTTCTTGTTACATGGTTAAGCTGTTTTCTTGTGTGAGTACTGATTAGTTGGTCCTTCGAGAAGAAATGATAGTGATGTGCTATTCAAGCACCATCTCTTGAAGCTTTTGATGTGCATCTTGTTCTTTGTCTACAACTTGTAAGGCTGTTATTTCATTTTTCTTTGTCAATTCGTAATTTGGGTCATTTGTTCTTTAGGTACTCTGGGCTGGATTTGACAAACTAGAATGTGAAGGTGGTGTCCTGCGGCAAATTCTCTTGCTGGGTTATAGGTCTGGTTTTCAGGTTTGGGATGTTGAGGATGCCGATGATGTCCGGCTATTAGTTTCTAGACATGATGGTCCAGTTTCTTTACTGCAAATGCTAAAGAAACCTGTTGGATGGAAAAGTTCTAGGGACGAATTTGCTGACGTTCGCCCATTGCTGGTTGTTGCTGGAGATCTATCTTTTTCTGGCAGTGATAATAATTCTGATGATGGTATCTTTCCTTGCAATGGAAGTGCAGGTTCTGCCCTGGAGCTGGGTAATGAGAACTTGCTGCCTACGCTTGTTCACTTTTATTCATTAAGGACACATGAATATGTTCATGTTTTGAAGTTCAGAACAGCAGTTTTTTCAGTGAGGTCTAGTCCTCGTATTGTAGCTGTTTCTCAAGCTGCTCAGGTATGCCCACTGTTTTGTCTTCTTCATACTACCATTGTATCTTGAGATCATAAGTTTAAGAAGAAAAGTACATATGCTGCAGATTCATTGCTTTGATGCTGGAACTTTAGAGAGAGAATACACAACTCTCACATCTCCTATAGTTTTGGGAAGTCCTGGTTCTGGGGGTATTGGTTATGGACCGCTTGCAATTGGTCCCAGGTGGTTTGCATACAGTGGAAATCCAGTTGTTGTTTCAAATACTAGCCGTGTAAGTCCACAACACCTGACTACTGCTTCAAGTTTGTCCCAATTTCCTTCTGATGGAAGTTTGGTGGCGCATTTTGCAAAAGAATCAGGCAAACATCTTGCAGCAGGTATTGTAAGCCTTGGAGATATTGGGTACAAGAAGCTCTCGAGGTATTGCTCTGAATTAATAGCTGATGACAATGGCTATCTAAAGCATGGGAGTTCCAGCTTTAAAGCTAATGGTGCAACGAATCTTCACGTGTCTGATGTAGACAATGTTGGAATGGTATACAGCTGATACTCTTGTATCTTTTAGTTAATCTTTTCTTTCTTGCAGCATATTCTTTCCCCAGTATATTTAAATATCACTTTGATCTTTCACGTTCCTATTATTTTTGTTGCATTTATAATAACAAGGTATACCTTGAAGTTATCTTTTCTCTCATTCAAATAAAAAGAATAAAAAGGTCACTGTTTGAAGCTCATTTAACTCCTTCAAGGAAATTTTTGAGGGCCTGAGTCTATCTTTTGTTCGACAAGGTTCAATTGGGCATTCTTTTTTTATCTCTCTTTATTTTCTTAGCGTACAGGTTTTATTTTGCACCTGTATATGCATAGTTCTATTATTAACTGTGTATTATTAATTAATTCAACTTTCTCTTGTTACTCTTTTCTGTGTTATTCCTCTAATTCTTGATATTTGGTTGATTTTTTTTCCTTCACAATGACAGGTTATTGTCCGAGACATTGTTCTCAAATCTGTTATTGTGCAATTTAGGGCGCACAAAAGTCCTATTGCTGCATTATGTTTTGATCCAAGTGGGACTTTACTAGTCACCGCATCCATTAGTGGGCATAATATTAACGTGTTCCGGATCATTCCTTCTCCGCATTATAGTTCATCACATTCTGATGCAATGGGGACTTGCATTCATCTTTACAGGTTGCAGCGTGGCATCACAAATGCGGTAATATTCATACAAACAGTTGCGCTTCTTTTCTTTAACTTCTGTCTGGTGTTCCTGATCTTTCTATTGATATATCAGGTTATACAAGATATCAGTTTTAGTGTTGACAGCCAACAGATAGTGATCAGCTCGTCTAGGGGAACCAGTCATTTATTTTCTATTCCTCCGTCTGCAGGATCTGCGAACATCCAGGTTTCTGATACCAATTTGATACTTGGTGGCTATTCACCAGATTTGACATCAAGGACTGGTGCTCAGAGCTCAGTTCCATCTATTAATTCCAAAAATGAAAGCCTTTCTTATCCATGTGGAAATCCAGTTACAATATCAGCTATGAGCAGAATAAGGAATGGCAATGGATGGAAAGGCACTGTAACTGGCGCTGCAGCTACTGCTGCAGGTCGTGCAAGTGCTCTTTCTGGAGCCATTGCTTCTGTCTTCCACAACTGCAGGGGGTCTAGGCTATACCCTGACTTCAACTCGTTGAGGGTAAAATACCACTTGCTTGTTTTCTCTCCAACTGGAAGCATTATTCAGTATGTATTGAGACAGTCAACTGAGGAAGATATTGGCATTGACATGTCTGGGTTAGGTGCAGTTTCTAGTGGATTGTCACAGGAATCTGATTCGAAGATTATGGTGGAGCCACTTCAAAAGTGGGATGTTTGTCATAAAAGGAATAGAAGAGATCGCGTTGATTCTGTTGATGTTTATGGTGAACATGGCAACGGAGAAAGCTCCAAGTTTCTCCATAAAGTGGTAAAAAAAGGAACAAGTGTCTATCCCATTGACAGCGGTTTAGGCACAAAAGTGAAAAAGAATGCCGAAGGAAACCATCACAAGTATATATCCGAGGTTGAGTTGCATATGCGTTCGACTCATATTCCTTTGTGGGGAAAGCCTGGGGTACTTTCATGTTCTTGATGCATGAGCACGATTTTTGTTGATTTGATAATATCTTTTTCTTTTAGTTGTAATGCGTGAATGCAACGTCTTGATCTTTGACTTTTTGGTTTGGCAGATATACTTTCAGGTGATGATGGGTGAGGACATCATTACAGACAATGACAGTGTTATGGGTGGAGAAATCGAGATAGAGAGAGTTCCAACTCGAACAATTGATGCTAGGTCAAAGGAACTCAGACCAGTCTTTGACTATCCTCAATTACCAAGATTCCAACCATCAAGGTTTTCCTTCTTACCCTTTGAGTGCATATTGTCCTATTGAGCTTCATGCATATGGATTTGAGCTTATTGTTTCTATATCCAAGTAGATGGGGAAACATTACAAAAATATTATCCAATGGAGCAGTTAGCCATTTCGATATCGTAAATGGTATAACACAGGTGAATTTGATTTAAGATTTTCGTAGTATAGTTGTTAATTCTTGAATGTACATTGAAAGTATGAACAGGCATGTGTTCAAATGTTTCCTAGTTTGGTACATGCATTCTACGCACGTTAACATTTTAATTGGATATGTCTAAATATAATTTCTAAATAAATTGCCAGGGGCAGGGTTGCACAAGCACATAAAACATGATTGCGTTAGTCAAAAGTGTTTTTGCATCAGTCCTATGGAGTCAAAAGTGTTCTTTCGTAAGTGCATTAAACGTGATACCATAAGTCCAAATTGTTCTTGCATTAATCCACTGCTTGAACCTTTTTTCCCCTCTTTAGGTTCAGTGCTTTTGATTATAGCGGAAATGGATTGCTAATGCATCAAAAACCTGGAATTTCCAAGGATGGATGGCTTTCACGCAGAAGCAGCTGTAGCTCTCTTGACCACATATCTGAAAGTTCCGCAGCAGGAGAGCATCCCAATACCATGAATAAGAATTGTACGGGTACTTTTCATATATCTGCAGAAACCGGACAGGAATTTGTAAACAATGACGAGGACAGCCAGAATGTGAAAGACGATCTTGAGTTTGTAAATAACAGAGACGGCCTGAAGATGGGACCCAGTCTCGAGTGTGTAAATAGTAAGGAAAACCTGAAGATGGAAAACCACTTAGTGGATCACGACAATGACATCTTCTAAGGCGAGAAACTTTTAATGTCATTTACATACTCCAAAAGACCATAAATTACATGAAAGCATGAAAACTAATCCTTCCTTGTTTGTTATTGACAGATTGAATGAATTGTCGAGGCTTGACGTGGTTAGATCTTCAGTGTGTGCAGCAGCTATTCTTTCATTCTCTCAAAATGCATTTTAACTTGTGTTTATATATGTATAGTAGTGGTTAAATGTAAAGCAAAGAGGGATTCGTCTATGAAGAGATTGCATTGGGGATAAATTCCATTCTGGGTGTACCTTTGTAATCAGATATTTCTACATTAAGTTTGCAATAATCGAGTGTAGTAGCGATTTAAGTGCTACCATGTATGGATATATATACTAATGATGCAGCTATAAAAGTAGAAAGCTCTTTCTGTTTGTGGTTTTTGTTCTTGATTCTCTACTTCTGACATGTAGCTTTTTTTGAAGGAGTATATTGTGTTGATGGAATCGGAGTATCTGCTTTGCTTTGTTGCCTACATTTTGTTACTTGAGGTACTTTTGGTACTCAAGACATCAGTATCGATTGAGAGATTCTGCATCCAATTCTCTACTTCTGACATGTAGCTTTTTTTAAAGGAGTATATTGCGTTGATGGAATCGGAGTATCTGCTTTGCTTTGCCCCCATCATTTTGTACTCAATACATCAGTATCAATTGGGAGATTCTGCATCCAATACTCTGCGTTAAAAGTCTTGGTAGTGTAGTTTTGAACATCGTAGGCGGTTATTTGCTGCAAAATAAGTGAACTTTCCATGTTCAAAGTTTGGTTTTGAGAAAATTTCCCAAGTTTCAGATGATCTTCCTCTTTCAGTTGGCATTATTAGCTTGGGCCTTGGCCTTAGAATGCTTATCTTTAATCGTGCCTCCATGTTTGACTCTGTACGTTGACATCTTACAGAATCAGCCGCTAAATATTTTCTTCAACTGGCTTTGCCTGTCATACTTCCCCATAAGATTCATCATCAAAGAGAATTTATGACATCGAAACCCAAACGTAACACTGATAAGACAGAAGAATCCTCAAAACTGGTGCATATATAAGCCTAAAGCAGGAAATATTTATATGCATGTTTGATGACTTGAAAGCTTGATGCACAATAAATTTGATTACCAAGAATCTGCATTATGTGATGAATGAATACTAAGCTAAATGGTCGAAAAAAATAAATCGGACAAAACATGTTTACTAAACATATAGACAATAATCTATGAAAGAATTTTAAAGTATGCAATTATTTTCCAGCAGATTGATGGAAAAACATTTAAAAAAACTGCGGGTTATACTCCATGAAAACCACAAGTTATTTTCCATTGGGTCGAAGGATAAAAATTTACCAAAATATTGAGTTATAGCCCATGAAAATCGTGATTATGAAGTACGCATAATTTACTTGTCATTGGAAGGAACAGAGCATAAAAGGCCCATCTCATGGATCATAACCCACCAAAAGTATAAATTTTGAGGTAGTCATAATTAATTGTTATTGGATCAAAGGAATAATAACAAATAAAAATCGTGGGTTACAACCCATGGAAATAACGAATACTAAAGTATGCACAATTAATTGCTAAATGGTCGAAAGAAATGAAATGAACAAAAATATGCCTACGAAAGTCATGAATTTTGAAGTGTGCATAAATATTTTCATTTGGCCGAAGAAAAAAATTTAAAATTATCATGGGTGCCCATGAAAATCATGAATGACCGATGAACGAAAGTTTAATTCCATCAACCCGAAACTATTGAAATAAACTAAAATCATGGGTTGTAGCCCATGAAATCGCGAATTTTGAAATACGTTTAATTACTTATTATTGGGAAAATCGAACATAAAATCCAAAAATCATGAGTTATATGACCCACCAAATTGTGGATTTTAAAGCAAATCATAGTTAATTGTTAATAGGTCGAATGAACAATAATGGATAAAGACCACAGGTAATAACCTATGAAAATTGTGAAATTGGCATTCGCACAATTAATTGCTAAATAGTCAAAACGAACAAAATTGAGAAAAATCATGGACTATAGGTCACAAATTTTAAATATGCACAATTATTTTTCAATGGGTCGGAGAAAAAAATTAAAAAAAAATCTTGGGTTATAGCCCATAAAAATCGTGAATTTTAAATTGAACATAACATACCAAAATTGTGGGTTATAACCCACCAAAATCATAAATTTTGAAGTAGTCATGATTAATTGTCAATGGGTTGAATGAACGATAATGGACAAACATCTCATGTTATAATTCATGTAAATTGTGAAAAATGAAGTTCACATAATTAGTTTCTAAATGGATGAAATAAAAATATATAATTAAAAAATTTATGGAGTATAGCTTACGAAAGTAAAATTCTTTTTAATTATGCATAACTATTTTCCATTGGGTTGAAGAACAAAAATTAACAAAATTGTGGGTTATATAGCCCATGAAAGTTATGACTTTTCGATGAAAATTTTTAATTCCATCAGGTCTGAAATAAATTAAAAATCATGGGTAATAGCCCATCAAAATCATGAACTTTAAGTATATAAAATTACTTGTTATTGGGATGAATCGAACATAAAATGCCAAAATCGTGGGTTCTAACACACCAAAAGTGCAATGAAGCAATCTATGAAAATTGCCAAAATCATGAGTTATAACCCATGAAAATTGTGAAAATTAGAGTTCACACAATTTATTTTTAAATGGTCAAAATGAATAAAATTGAGAAAAATCATGGACTATAGCCCTATGAAAGTCAAGAATTTTTAAGCATGCATAATTATTTTCCATTTGGTCGAATAACAAAAATGTACCAAAAATCGTGGATTATAGCCCACGAAAAGTGTGAATTTTCGATGAGAAAAATTTTAATTCCATCAAAAAGAAACTATTGCAATAAATTGCAATCCCAGGCTATAGCCCATCAAAATCACAAATTTTAAAGCACGTATGATTACTTGTTATTCGGATGAATAAAACTTAAAATGTCAATATCAGGGTTATAACCCACAAAAATTGTGAATTGAAATAGTTATAATTATTTGTCATTGGATTGAATGAATGATAGTAGGCATAATCGTGCGTTATAATCCATGAGAATCGTGAAAATTAAAGTTCTCACAATTTATTGCTAAATGGTCAAAATGAAGAACATTGAGAAAAGTCATGGACTAGCTTATGAAAGTCATGAATTTTTTAAATATGCATATATATTATTTTCCATTGGGTTGAAGAATAAAAAAATTATGAAAGTCATGGGTTATATAGCCCATGAAAATTGTGGATCTTTGATACACGAAAATTTAATTCCAACATGTTGAAACTATTGAAATAAACTAAAAATCGTGGATTGTAGGCCATTAAAATTGTGAATTTTGAAAATCATGAATGTTTGATAAACAAAAATTTAATTCCATCAGTCCAAAACTATTGAATAAACTAAAATCATGGGTTATAGCCCATAAAAATTATAAAATTTTGAAGTACCTATAATTACTTGTGATAGGGACGAATTTTACCTAAAATACCAAAATCGTGGGTTATAACTGTAACGCCATCCAAAATCGTATCCGGTATTGATACAGATTCGGATGCTATTGACCAAGTCAGCCGAAAGTCCCAAAACCAAATACCCCGTATCTTGACCAAACTAAATCTTCATCATAAAAATATTAGAAAGTTGCACTCGAGTTAGTGAGTAAACAAAGTCAACGCAATGGTTTAGAGAGCTTAGTGTAGTGCTTGAGTGAGTTATTAGATTTGAGCGGCATTATTGTAAATATTAAAAAGTTAGGGAAATGAATACTTATGCTTTTAATCGTTTCGTTTCAGATCCAACTTAGTATCTTTCTCCGAAATGCAGAGGAAAAGCTCGGAAATCAAACGACTTCTCTGAAGGCAATTTTTTTTTTGTCGTGTACTAGCTATGTTTGCATATTTTGATTCATGGGTTTTCTTGGATCTAGCTATTTTTATCAGAAATATATATGCTTTTGGATAATAAGGAAATAGTGTAATTTCTCTATGGAGCCTTGATGATTTGATGTCAAGCTAATTGCGAATGTTTCCCATTACGAAGCTAAAAAATGGGTAATATCCGAAACAGGGAATAATGAAGGTATATATTAGTGGAAATCAATAAGTTTGAAAAAACTGAAATTGCCAGGTACATTGCTAATAGAATAAAATAACTAAAAATGGCCTAAATCATGGATAATAGCTCATGAGATCATAAATTTTGGCATCCGTAAAACTATTTACCAACATATCAAAATGACTAAAAATAACCAAAAATTATAAATTATAGTTTCTGATCATGAATTTTGACATTCACGAAATTATTTGCCAATTGGTCAAAATGACTAAACATAACCAAAAAATCCAGGGTGATAGCTCACAGAATCGTGATTTGTGGCATCATCAAAAGTTTTTGCGAATGAATTGAAACAACTAAATATGGCTAAAAAAGTGGATTGCAACTCAAGAAATCATGATTCTTGGCCTCTACGATATTATTTACTAGAGAATTATAACGGCTAAAAATGGCTAAAAATTATGGACTATAACTCACAAAATAATAATTTTGTCCTTGGCAAAATTATTTGCCATAGAACTAGAACAATTAAAATTTGCCAAAAATCATGAGTTTCTCAGGAAATTGTGAATTTTATCCTTCGTGAAATTATTTGCTAATAGGTCGAAATGACTAAAAATGAGTGAAAAATTATGGGTAATAGCTCTCGAAATCGTGAAATTTTTCCTTTGCAGAATTATTTGCCAATGTGTTTAAGAAATTAAAAATTGCCAACCAAAAATCATGGGTTAGCTCATGAAATCATGAATCTCAGCTTCCACATTAATATTTGTCACTGAATTAAAAGAATTAAACATGTCCAAAAATCATTGGTATAACTCACCAAATCATGATTTTTTGACCTCCATGAAATTCTTTGCTAACGGTCGAAACCACAAAAAAGGCCATGAATCATTGATTATATCTCATGAATATAATATATATATATATATATATATATAATATATATATATATTAATATATATATATATATATATATATATAAGTTGATAGTGAAAACTCTATCAACTTAAGGGATAGAAATAGTGATCCACCAAACTTTTTATCCATGGATCTTACCTAGGATCCTTGCATGTATATGAAGAACTTTTATATTAATAATGAGTGGCTAAAAAGTTTGGTGGATCACTATTTCCTATCCACTTAAGTTGATAGGAGTCTTGCTCTTTCTCTCTCTCTCTCTCCTCTCTCTCTCTCTCTCTGCTCTCTCTAGATATATATATATATATATATATATATATATATATATAATATTATATATATATATATGTGTGTGTGTGTGTGTGTGTGT